CGTTCTACCTCCTCGCGCTCACGGGAGCCGTGCGCGCACCTCGGAGACACACGCAGTCCTGACTCCCCGGAACTCGCCCGGCGTCTCCAGGGCAACAGCCGGAGCACCCAGACTCCTGCGCGCAACGGGCCAACAAGGAAGGTTCTCATTGGCTGGAGTGCCGGCCTTGTCAACCAATCAGTGCGGGCGCCTGCGCCACTTGCTCTCTGGGAGAACCCGCCGGTTCGCTGTGAGCTGTGTCTGACCCGCGCGTGGAGATGCTTGCTTGCTGGCGGCTGCTGCTGCTGCTGCCCTCCGCTACCTGCAGGACTTAACAGTCTTGCTTATTTTGCTTTGGGGTTTTATTTTGTTTTAAGCAGCGTCTCACTAGTGCACCCCGAACGAGCCTCGAACTCGTGGCTATATTCCTGTTTCGGTCTCCGGGTTGCTAAGGTTACTGGCGGACCCTATCACAGACTACCCCTTGCACGCGCGCTTTATGAACGCGAGTTTACGAACCTGGCACCCCACAGTCACCAAAACAAGGGCATTCCAGTCAAAGACCCGCAGCAGGTGTTCTGAAGATAATGGAAACCTAAGGGACACGCAGGCAGGACTAGATAGGGAGCTGGAACTTACTGGTTATAGTGCCCAGGCCTCATCTATTCTGCCTGGTCTGGGACTCCGTATTTATAGGTTATCCTCCGACTCACAGAGATCAGCCTGCCTCTGTCTCCAAAAGGCAGGGATTAGATGTATGAACTACTTAGAAACGCAAATGGTTTAAATACAAAAGAGCGGGGAGCAGATCCACTTTAAAAAGGTGTCAGAGAAGTTTACCAGGTTTTGAGCTGAAAAGGCTCCTGATAAGGAGAGGTTAGTATCTTGAGAGTTAATGAAACCCTTTAGAGACGAGCTCCACACTGCTGGAATTCATAGTGGCAAAGTACCCCCAAGGATGGTTTAAATAACAATAAGGGGCTGCAGAGATGGCTCAGCAGTTAAGAGCACTGGCCTCTCTTCCAGAGCACCGTAGTTTGAATCCCAGCAGTTCCAGAAGATCCAGTGCCCTCTTCTGGCTTCCTCTGGCACTGCACAATGTGGTACACAGCCATGCGTGCAGGCAAAACACTCATACACATAAAAAATGTTTAAAGGGTTTATTTTATGTATGTAAGTCCACTGTCGCTGTCTTCAGACACACCAGAAGAGGGCACGGGATCCCATTACAGATTGTTGTGAGCCACCATGTGGTTGCTGGGAATTGAACTTAGGAACTCTGAAAGAACACATACAAATTTTAACAATGACTGTTACAGCTTTTTTTTTTTTTTGCCATATTTTAACAGTTTGAAAACTTGTTTAGGGCTGGAGAGATGGCTCAGCGGTTAAGAGCACAGACTGCTCTTCCAGAGGTCCTGAGTTCAAATCCCAGCAACCACATGGTGGCTCACAACCATCCGTAATGAGATTGGATGCCCTCTTCTGGTGTGTCTGAAGACAGCTACAATGTACTCATCAATAAAATAAATAAATAAATATAAAAAAAAAAAAAGAAAGAAAACTTGTTTAAAGCCAGGGATGGTGGCACACACCTTAAACCCCTCGCCTTGGCAAAAAAATAAAAAAAAAAAAAAAAAAAGAGCCGGGCGGTGGTGGCGCACGCCTATAATCCCAGCACTTGGGAGGCAGAGGCAGGCAGATTTTTGAGTTCGAGGCCAGCCTGGTCTACAGAGTGAGTTCCAGGACAGCCAGGGCTACACAGAGAAACCCTGTCTCGAAAAACCAAAAAAAAAAAAAAAAAAAAATCCTAGCACTTGAGAGGCAGAGGCAGGTAATCAGGTGATCTCTGTGAGTTCAAGACCAGCCTGATCTACAGAGTGAGCTCCAAGACAGCCAGGGCAACACAAAGAAACCCTGTGTAGAAAAACAAACAACCAAACAACATTAATAAAATGTGTGTGTGTGTGAAGGGTGAACTTGTTTAAAAAACAATAACATTAAGAATCATGGTGCATAATTAAATCAATCTGGTACAAAGAAAACAGCTTTATTAATTTGATGTTTCATGGCCACACCATAAGAATACAAATCACAAAGATAATAATAATTAAAAAATAATAATACAAATCATTAAACATCTGTTCAGGAAAACAGTACTGAGCAGAGTCCAAAGGTCATGGCTGTCACCCGAATGCAACACCTGGAAAAACAACATAGATGGAGTTATCTTTATGGGCTCTTACCACTGGAAATACGAATGCAAGATAGGGCGGGTGAATAGGCCAAGAATGACAGTTTCCAATAGCAGGCACTGCGTTTCCACAATAGACATGTTGGGATGTGATTTTGCAAGACATGTATATAACTGAGAATTCTCCACAGAGGGAAAGAGGTTCATGTCCTTAAAGGGACCACAGAAGGTCCCCAAAGCCCAGCTAGCCCTATTCCCTGCCCATCACAGCACTCTCTGAAGACTCAATGCCCCAGGCCATCCAAACCAGGGTACAGCGGCCTCAAGATCTCAGGGTGTTCACAAAGTTCCAAGCAAGACGAACTATTCAACCTGGAAATGATGACAAGGAGCATAGTCCAGGCTGAGTGGAAGTTTCACGTCCAAGTCAAGTCAAAGCCACGAACACAGGAAACATACCATTCCCATGATCAGCCAAGTCCGACACCCGTGATGACTGAGAATGCCAAGGAAGGTAGGAATGAGGTAAAAACTCATGTTCAAAACATGAGTTGTCTTTTTTGACATAGGAATGAGGAACAACCATTGTAAGGTCACCAGGATTTCTGCACGGAGAACCTGAACCCGGCATCTACCAGTCTATGACTCCGCAAGGAGGTATCTTTGGGAAGAACAGCCAGCTCGCCCTCTGCCATGCAGATCTGTTAAGAGCAACTCTGAAGACATCCAAAGGGCTTAGGATGGTAGGTCTTAGGTATTAGTGGTCAGGGGCTGTCCTTGTTCCTGTGACTGAGATTGTCAACATAGGATGTCAACGCTGGGGAAATGCATTGGGAAGAGAACATTCCCTGGTTATTCTCCAGCTGTTTGGGGACGGATGATGATGATGACAACGACAAATGGAAACTCTCCATAAGGTACAGAGGAGTGAGGTTAAAAGGTCAGGTGACCTGCCCTTGGGTCAGACAGCAATGAGCTGATCTCAGGGTGATACAAAGAAACCAAACCTCCTGAATTTCTGGAGGCACAAGTTGAGGGAAGGCTTCGAAAGGATCCTTTGGGTATGTCTTGAAGAACGAGAGTCAACTTGAGTCCCCGTCTTCCCTAGGACAGAGCTAGCACTAGCATCAGGGTCACCAAATCCCCTCAACTCTCCAAGGGTGAGATCACCCCCTCAGGTAACATAAGGACACTATGTTACCTTCTAGAATCTCTCGTCCCTCTTAAAGAGGCTCACGCCTCACGTCAGGGCGGTGCAGCCCATCTACAGCATCTCACCCACATGGTTGTTAGAATGTGCTGTGTGAATTGGACTCTCCCAGAGGCGCTGTGTGACCTTAGTAAAGGATACTTGTCACCATCATAAACCTGGAGGCTGACTTTGCCTCTCATCATCTCTCGCACCCATCGGCATTCCGTCTACAAACCCCATACCCAGTGCCATGTTCAACATCGCTCAGCGAGCTGCTCTCGCCTCACACTACATATTAGTAACTACCTCACCTCAGCCTTGGAGATACGTGAAAATATAAGGGAGTTCGAAGAAGGGTCTCCAAGGTGTCCTGTCTAGCAAGACATTAAACAGGGGTCTGGGGAGGTCACCTGAAAGAGAGCGGGGGGTGTGGGGGGAAGCAGGCAAAGTCGCAAGGAAGTGACGACCTGTCTATAATCTGATCACATTGCCATTTTTACTTTTGCACACACAGGTTATACACACAAAAAGGCAGGATGTGGGGAAGGGGATGACTCAGGAATGTGGGTGTTCAGGGGGAATACAGATTGTTCAGGGGAGTACAGATATCTTCCAGAACAGAGTATCAGCTGGGTGAAGGTTCAGGGGACAGGATACTATGTCTCCACCTATGATTCATTTGTCCTTATCTAAGTTGGTACTATCCACCAAGGTTACTTATCTACAAGGTCTATGATTAGCCAGGCTTGGCAGCCTTCCATCAAAGCTGCCTGTTTACAATAACTCCCAGCTATCTGTTTCAGTGTTTTTCTACAGAGACCCAAGACTTGGTGCTCGCAGACATGTATATCAGGCCTATTGCTGCTTTTAGGCCTTCAGTGTATAAGCAGAGCTGCCCCTGACACCAAGGTAGAGACCCCAGCAGTATCACTCACAAACAGGAGGCCTAGGCCAATGACACTGGAAACTAACCTTATTAACTCGTAGACTATGCAGAATAAAAGAAAAAGGAAAACTTATTTTGACACTTCATAGACGTCCTAAAGATTGAACAACCATCTAACTATGCAGGGAAACAGTACCAACCAGTGTCTGTGCGTTTCATGCTGTAAACTCTGCATAAAACATCTGGAAAACGAAGAGGAGACTCCCTTTGGGCTCCTCCCTTCCTCCATAGTCTGAAATACACAGCTTTGTAGATGGGGAGTGGGAATATCGGCAGTTCAGTTTCCGGTAGAAGGAGTTACGTTTCCATACTTGGCATGCTAGCAGCTATAATATTCCCGGTAGCTGGCATGCTTTCTGCCACGTGCACGGTTCCAACAAGAGTCCACAGTGCACTGTGAAGCCCCAGGGATGGTCCCTGAAATGCAGCCAGCCTTATTCTTCAGGCCAAGCTCAGCAGTCAACACTGATAACCCAGGCCAACTCTTTACACCAGTGGCTCTCATGTCCCCAGTGGTCTGCATATGAGTGTAGAAACCAGGCCTTCCAGGATGAACCCTCTGCTCCAGATTTCAATAAATATCGAACCCACGAACAAGAAACATCCCACCCCTTCGCCCTCCCAAGCAAATCCCGTCTCTAGGGTTTCAAGGATGCCAGAGAGGGGATTACAGAAGCAAAGAAGTCATGTTTGAATTATGCTCTCTTCATTTATTTATTCTCCTTTACTATTCATGAGGCTGGGGAAGAGAAAAAAAGACCAGTGAAGTCACAGATATTTATGTAAAAGGGGGACTTGGCGTGGTATCTACCAGGCCACAATTCTGCCAGGAGGCCTCTCTGGAAGGGCTCCGGACAGGCTCAAGCAAACGCCCTGGGTTCTTTGTTTCCATCACAGAAATGTCACGACAGTTCCATTCTTTCCAATCTGCCAGGGCTCCACGGGGAAGAATCGGATGATGATTCTTTAGGAAGCAAAAAAAAGAGATGTCAGCTCCTTGGCACATTCCATATATGCCAAGGTCCCTGCCAGACATGCCAGGATAATAGCTCAGCCCAGCCCATAGCAGCCCATAGGATATTTTGCCTGCCTGCCCACCCCAGCTAATGATCCTTGCACCGAGACAAGGCAGGAGAAAGGTGATGGCTATACCGGGACCAAGACAGACTTAACGCAATGGCTTCAGTAAGTGTGCTCTGTGCTCAGGTACACATGTCAGGCTGTTTACGGGCTAACAGTCCCCTTGCTTCTAACTGCAGGCTCCTACAGGCATGCCCAGGGTACCAGCCATTTAGTTTTGAACCAAAGCCTGGTTCTAAGCGAGGAACAGGTTCAAATCTGATTCGTATCTGTGGAGTAAGTGATTTCTCAATCACAGAGCTCAGAGGAAGCACTCGGTGATAGTCTGGCGTCAGGGTGGTTGTATACAGGGCTGATACCCTCAGGTTTCCATCTGTAAAGCTGGTCTAATACAGTTATCTATCTCATGAAGCTACGGAGTCTGCCCCTGAGGGCCCTGGAAAGCACCTGTAAGGATCAAATGGGATAATGGGTGTAGAGCTCCTGACACGTACTGTGCGTGAGCATTACTGTTAAGAAGTACTGTCTCCTCAACTTCAGGACAGAATTTAAGCATCTAACACAAGCAGCCATTACCAGCTTTCCTGAGCCTACTAAGACTCCATTCTGGAAGGTTCTTTCAAACTTACCTTTGTAGTTCTTCACAAGCATGCCCTAGCCTCGGGAATATGAGACTCTAACTCTGCCTCAGAGTGTAAGGATTTGGGGGAGGGAAGTCATTTAGCAGGACCCACAGTCTATGGAAGAGAAGGCTACAAATCGGAGATCGTTTATTTCCAGGTTTATCGGAGATCTCTTAGCTGAGGTAGTCCTCAAACCCCAGTAGATATCTAGGCCAATGGTCTTTTCATTACCCTGCGACTCTCCCGGAGCCTTATCTAGTCCAAAGGTTATCTGCCTCTGGACATAACCAGATTCCCTCTGCCCAGCCTGTAACAGTTCTCCTTGAAAATCAGACATCCTGGTGCGGTGACAGTGAGGACGCCATCATCACAGTGGTTCAGAGGGTGCCTAAGCATATTCTTAGTACACACAAGGAAACACTGGAGTTTCCCAAGCCATCCTTTCTCGGGGTTTGCAGGGATGGCTGCAGAACGTCGAAGGAATAGAAATTTTGCAGTCATTCTGATCACAGACCCAACATTTCAGTGCCTAAGGACTAGGACACAGAGTGCTTTCTGGAACCAACAAATAATGAATTGAACCAACAAATAATGAATTCCCCAGCTCCCCAACCTCACACAGAGGGACAGAGTCAGGATCACTCACTGCTCCAGATGCACAAACAATACGTTCCTTCATTAGCCCTACATACCGGTCCTGGTTCAGAGACAGCTCCTCGGTGAGGAACTTGAAGAAGCCAGAGCTGTGGCCGCGGTTCTGCTCCGCGGTGCCCACAACACCGATGGAAGAAACCCGAAGGTGGGCGCAGGGTTCTGTGGATTTGTTCATCAACAAGGTCACGCCAGGTCGTATCATAACGCTCACGCGCTGCAAGGAACATAAAAGTTTTAAATCCTGAAGCAGGGCTGGTGTCCAGAATCAAGCGCGCCGAAAGTCTTAACGTGGGGGGTTCCGAGGGATCGGGGTCTGGGCCACTGCCCAGGCTCCTTGGAAGTCAGTCACTTCAGGGTCACGCCTGGGAAAGGCGACCAGGAAGGGACCTGGGAAGGGAGGATGGGACACGGAAGGTCAGAGATTAGCAGGCGGGAGGGGTCCCTGGGTATAAGGGAAAGGGTTCTCGGGATGTCCGGTCCTAGCCCACAAGTTCTCGCCGACCCTCACTCACGTCTTCGGGTTTGTCCAGGATGGTGGCTGCGGCCGCACACAGACGGCTCTCCAGCCCCTCGGGTATGCGACTAGCCGGCAAGTTTGTTTCCAACTCAATGAAAGGCATGTTAGCGGCAGAAGAGAGCGATCCCCAAACGGTAACTGCACCTAGAGAGCGGTGAGAGCCAGTCGGGGTTCTAGAAAAGGAGCGCGGGGAGGGGAGGGGAGGAGGCGGGGGCGGGGAGGGAGAGCACAACTCAGTTCCTCATTGGCCAGGCAGAGTCGGCCCTTCTAGATTGGCTATCGGAGCTACTCCTTTTCCGCCGTCATGTGTGCCGACTGCAAATTTCCTCAGTCCCAGCTTCAGTGCCATTGGCCTTCCCAGTCGGCAGGGGGCTCTGTTTCCCTCTGAGCGTCCCAGCTAACCACCTGCAAGTCTGAGCCTACTTCAAGCCGCCAGACTTAAAGTTTCTTAAATGATTGTGCTCGTTTCAAATTCGATACGGGAACCGCACTCCTTTTGAACAATCTTGAGACCAAGTAGCACGTGAAGTGTGCCTGGGCAAGACCCTAGGGCAAGGGCATCTCCACCTGGTCCCTAAGGTACCTGATTTTTGTAACCTCTTCTTTCAGGGATAAATCATTGTCCACCAGAGAGTGGCAGAGCTACTTAAAACAAGGCAATCTGGCCAGACGGTTGTGGAGCAAGTCTTTAAAACCAGCTCTCTAGAGGCAGAGGTAGGCAGATCTACCTCAGCTCTCTTGAGTTCCAGGCCAGCCTGGTTTACAGACTGAGTTCCGGGACAGCCAGAGCTACACAGAGAAACTCACACACACACACGACAAAAACCCAACAAGGCAATCTGTCCCATTATACGTAGGAAAGTGTGCATACTAAAGGGGCCATAAGAAAATGGACTAAGAGACTCAACCATCACTCTTCTGTTAACGATGTATTTATTAAGTAAGGCACATAAAAGACATCCTATGGCACAAGATTAAGTAGCTTGACGGTTTGGATCCGGAGACAGGCAGAAGGGAGCAGTCGGGGTTAAGAAGGCTTGGAGCAAGAAGGAAAGTTAGGACATACCAAGAAACTTCCATTGCTGCAAGGACTGTCATGAATCAGCCATGTACCCCGCCTATGGCAGGGAACAAAAACCCAGAGTACAGAGGCCTTTCACTAGTCTGTCCCCATCTCTGACATGTATTCAACTCAGAGATCAGAGATCCCGCGTGCCAAAACTAAGGGAGGCAGGCACTGGGGTTGAGGAGCACAGAGGATCATGTAGTGCCAAATATCAAATATATATATCTGTGTGTATATACATATACATATACATATACAGGGCACGGGGGTCAATGTGAGAGCAGAAAAGGAGCCAGAAAAGTATGACTTGGAGCGTGGGGAAAAGTTCAATGGTTTATAAAGTCTCAAAGAAAAAGAATATAGCCAGGTAAGTTTCTCCCAAGCATTTTCCTGTAGCTCTTTCCAGAAGTCAGATAAGAGCTGATGTCACAGCCCAAGTCAGGTGGGGACACAGAGGGAACACTCGGTAACATGGAGAGGAAGTTGTGGACCAGAGACTCTATGTCCTAGTTACAGCCAAAGAGACAGACAGCCTCATCTCTTAGCTTGCACGCCACCCCTCCCCCCAACCCCGAGTTTCTCTTGACCGGCTGTCTCCTAGTTCGGGCTATTCCCTCAATGCAACAAGCACTGCAAAGAGAGCTTCAGTTTCTCCTTCAATGTAGGGTCCATCAAAGGAGGCATATCCTTGGCCTTCAGGACAACTTCGTGGGCCTCCTGGAAGAGGCTCTCCCCCACGGCGGCTTCCACCCGCTGACGCCACGCAGCCAGTTTGGGTCGGCTCTCGAAGATTTTGCAGCCAGCACTGACCGGCTGTGGGGAGGAGGAGTCAGGTAGAGGGGTTGAGTGCCACAATCTACAGGCAGCATGGCCAGTCAGTATTTACTTGCCCCACTACACTGTCCTCCCCCAACCATGTACGAGGTGCCTCTAGATACCCTCGCAGAGGGGATTTATGAGGACTTACTTTGTAATGACATGAATAAGTGACTATTCAAAGCTCAGTCATAAATCAGGCATTTTATGTCACCCCCCCCCAAGGCTTAGGAAATACTAGAGAAGACATAGAATATACAAGCCTGAAGAAAGTGGAAGGGAGTCTTGGGAACCCTGGCTTCCAGGTAGGAAAAGGCGTGGCATTTACATATTACTGGGCTCATTAGCATCCTGTCATGGAAGGATAAAGGACATTTGGGGTCTCATCCCACTCTGAGGATGATGGTTAGGAGGAGGGGACACACACACACACACACACACACACTAGAACGGAAGCTAGTGGGAAAGTGACAAATCAGTAGAAAGGGGACAAGAGATGACCAAAATACATTATGTACATGTATGAAAGTATTATAATGACACCTATTATTATGTGATATGGACATATGCTAATAAAACGGTTTAAAATTCACTTTAGAAATGAGGAAGACGAGCTGGAGAGATGGCTCAGAGGTTAAAAGCTCTTCCAGAGGTCCCAATTCTCAGCAACCACACGGTGGCTCACAACCATCTGTAATGAGATCTGGTGCCCTCTTCTGGCCTGCAACCATACATGCAGGCAGAACACTGTATACATAATAAATAAATAAAAATTATTTCATTGCTAGTTTAAACCTGTAACTTTGTTACTCTTATAAAAAGAAGGAGTAGGAGGAGGAGGATGAGGAGGAGGAGGAAGAGGAGGAAAAAAAGGAGGAGGAGGAGGAGAAGAAGAGGAAGACCTAGGTGCCGAGGGAGGAGTGACCCATCCAGGGCCCCGCAGCCAGAAAAGGCAGCAAGAGCAAGGCTCCGTGCCAGGACTCTCTGTCATTCAGCAGGCCACCCAACTCCATTGCACTCACGTGCATCAGCTCTGTGATGGCCACTAAGTCAGCCACGGAGATATGGGATCCTGTAAGGAAGGCCTGGTCCTGCAGGAACTTGTCCTCCAGCATCTGCAGGCACCCATCCAGTTCAGCCAAGGTGGATGCCAGCATCTCAGGAGGTACGGGCTGTCCCAGGAACACAGGGAACATCATCTGATGGACCAGCAAGAAGAAAGAGTTGGCTCTGTCCAATACTTATCTTTTGTCCCACACTTATCCATCCATCTGTTCATCTGTCCATCCATCCATCCATCCATCCATCCATCCATCTCAGTTCTTAAGATCTTTCCTTTTCCTTTCCCCATATAAAGTCATACTTGGCTCTCCATTGCCCTTAAGATCAAGACCTCAACCTAAAACCTTCCCCGAATATAGCACCTGCCATCCTATCCCCATTCTGCATCCCCTCTGATTACAAGTGGGAGTTCTCAGGAGAGACGTGGTAGTTGATACACTGTGGAAGGAGTTGCTGAGCTTTTAAAGCCAGTACGTGGTAGGGACGCCAGCATGAAGTGCTGAGGGTCTGGGCTGGAATTCTAAGATCGCCAAGGTGAAACATCGAAACAGAACTTTTAATTTAAATATTTGTTTGTTTGTTTATCTGTTTGTGTGAATGAGTGCACACATGTTCTCATACATGCGTGTGCGTGTGCATGCCCTCGATCACCACAGCATGCTTACAGAGGTCGGAAGACAACTTGGAGGAATTGGTTCTCTCCTCCTACTGTGTTGGATCACAGGGATTGAGCTCAGATTGTCAGGCTTGGTGGCGACAATGCCTTTTACACCCTGAGGCTTGTCGCTGGCCCAAGAACTTTTCCTCTTATTAGGGAACACCATCTCTGATGCACCCTGGGAGCTAACCCTGTCCTTCGTCCCCACGTCCCCACGTCTCACCTTCTGCCACATGGCTCTGGTACAACAGCTCCGAAGGGCTGTGTGCTGCCAAGCCAGGTACTCGTCTACACGAGCTCGGGTCTGCAGGTCCTGAGGGTACCAGTGGTCAGGGGCCTTGTATTTTCTACTCAGATACAGCAAGATGGCCACGCTGGAGGAATGCAGAGAGATGGAGAATGTTCCCTGGTCATTCTTTTTTGTTTGGTTGGGGTTTTTTTGTTTTTTGTTTTTGTTTGTTTGTTTGTTTGTTTTGAGACAGGGTTTCTCTGTGTAGGCCTGGCTGTTCCTGGAACTCACTCTGTAGACCAGGCTGGCCTACAACTCAGAAATCCACCTGCCTCTGCCTCCCAAGTGCTGGGATTAAAGGCGTGCGCCACCACTGCCCGGCATTTCCCTGGTCATTCTTAAACCACCTTAGTCTAGGACTAGGGTGTCTTGTAGCTGAATTTCTGCAATCATTTCTTACCCAGCCTGGGGACCCTTTCAAACACAAGGGAAATGGGAGCTCTCCTCTGCTCGGATTCCCCTGGGGTCCTTCCTTCCTGCAGGAAAGGTCAGAGTCTTTCTCTATTCCCTACCACCTCCCCTCACTGCTGCGCTTGCCTGCTTCACCCCAGCAGTGCTGGCCTCAGCTCTTCAGCCCGTACCTGCCCTTCCAGCTAGAACACACTCCCACAAACCTGGTACATCGGTACAGGAAGTCCCTGCTTACTTACCACCTCTGTGGCTAGCCTCTCTTTCATGTCTCACTTGAAATCACTAACCCTGACCCCCCACCCCAACCTGTCTCGTCTCCGCTGAACTCTCCACCTGTCACGTTTCTGTCACTCCCCTCTCGGAAAGGTGCATCCCGTGGGGGGCCCAGATTATGATCTGTGCAAGCTCCAAGGTCTGGTACTGATGGGTGCTCAGCAGATGGCAACAAAGTTCAATGGGTGATACTTTGATTTCTCGGGAAGTACCTCCTCCCTCCAGGATCTGTGGTACTCCAGGACCTGGTGCAGCCACATTCTTTGGTACTATCTTTCCTCCTGAGGGCTGGGCTATCGGGAAAGGGGCCTGGAAGCAGACTGGGCTGCCCCATCTCCCAGCCTCAGTTTCCTCATCCATAAGATAAAAGGGGGATGAGGCATACCATGTGTTCAAAAGTCTCATCTTAACCTCAGGTACCTATTTGGGTGTTTACCCTGGGGTGGACACAGAGGCCATAGTCCAAGTCCAGCATCAGGCCCAGACAGGTGGCCTGCCCTCACATAGCTTGGATGCAAGCAAGGAACCCATTACCTCTCTGCCAAGAGGAAGTCCCCATCCTTCAAAGCCGGCACCTTCCTCAAAGGGTTCACCTGAGCGAAGGAGTCAGTGTACTGTTGACCTGCAGAGAGACCAGAGCACAGGGCTGAGGATTCAGAGGCTTTTTAAGGTCTGCCTGTCTCCTTCTTTATATTCAAGTACCAGTTTTCTATGGTAAAGAGGAAGCCACCATGCTGGCCAGAGGATCCTCTCACAAATCCATTTGCCTTCACTCCTGTGAAGCCTGGGTCAGAGTATCTACTTAGGTCTGGGAAAGATTCCCCACTCGATTCTGTGTAGCTATGGCCTATAGTCATCCTAATGTAGACATGCAGTCCATTCCTGGGCCCTGATCAATCTTTCTATCCCAAGTAAGAACTGAGTGGGTATAGTGAGAATTTTGGTTTCTTTCTCTTTATTAAAAAAAAAAAGCACAGAAATATTATGAGATTATGTTTTTGTTTTAATCCCAGGTGTGGGAATATAGGGCTGCTTTCCAGCAGTTGACTATGATTTGACTCATGCTCTACCAAAGGTGTGGTTTTGCCAGCTGCAGAGAGTTGTTGCAATTGTATGACATTTTGGAGCTCTGGGGACTTTTTGGAGGATATATAAATGCTCCAGCCCCGACAGAAAGGGCTGGTTGGCCAGCTATTGGTTGGGTGCTGTTGGTTGTGCTTTGTCAAGTAGTTGTGTGTGAAGAGGCGAAAAGAAGGAATTTGATATCCTGACAACAAAGATCAAACTCGTCCAGAGGAACTCAATGTCCCTAGTCAGCCGGAAATAGTCTAATGGATACAGTGTTCCTCTCTTTCCCCTCCATCTTTTTTTCTCTCTCCTATCTAGTGTTAGGGGGTTGAAAGAGTAGAAGAAGGGAGGTGGAGAAGGGCAAAAGAAAAAAGGAACCCCCCAGGGCTGGAGAGATGACTCGGTGGTTAAGAACACTGCTCTTCCAGAGGTCCTGAGTTTGATTCCCAGCAACCACATGGTGGCTCACAACCATCTGTAATGGAATCTGATACCCTCTTCTGGTGTGTCTGAGGACAGTTACAGTGTACTCACATACATTAAATAAATAAATAAATAAATAAATAATTCTCTGAAAAAAAGAAAGAAAGAAAGAGAGAAAGAGAGAAAGAGAAAGAAAGAAAGAAAAAGAAAGAAAGAAAAAAAGAAAGAAAGAAAGAAAGAAAGAAAGAAAGAAAGGAAGGAAGGAGGGAAGGAAGGAAGGAAGGAAGAAAAAAAGGGACCCAAGAAGTAGTCAAAAGTCCAATTACAGATGGGTTCTTCTGACCAGAATGGGTGACCTGTATACACCCAGAGCTCCAGACTGCCGTTTTCTCGGTTCTCAGTTTAACATAGCTCTTGCCAGAACAAGTGTCCCACTCAGCCACTAGGTCTCCAGCAGCTCAACACTTCTTTCTTTTCTGTGCCAAGCCCTCAGAGCACTCTCCTCACTTGGGATGCCCAGAGGGAACTCACTGTCTCTCTCCCAAACCCCATGCCTAAGCTAGATCTGACGGTACAAGTTAGGTTGCGGGGTCAGTGTGATGGAATCAGAGGCATTTGGGGAAGACAGGTTCTAGATCCATCTGTGGGTCAGTCTTTCCTTCCACTGAATGGACTCCATTGCCTTTGCCCATTCTCCTTCCACAAACTATCTATATGCAGCCCCTGTCCTGCAGTCCAATCTGGAAGTACAGAAGAGGTATTTGAACTAAATAGGACTCAGCTAAATAGGAAGTTCTAGATTTTCTGCTTACCCCTCCCCCACCGACTCTCCATGCTCCAGTCCAGTTGTAAGTCTGCCTCTACTGATTGCTTCAGTAGCTGGGTTTTTGCCCCACCCCGCCTCCCAAGGCTAATCAGAGCAACGATATTTCCAGCTCAAGTCAGAATAGCCAGTCCTTTCACAGAACCCTCTAGCTGACTGGCAACTTCCATAGAGTAAACATCTAGAAGGGGGGTGTGTATGTGTGTGATCTGGGGAGGAACGGGGGGTGGGGGGAGGGAGGGTGAAGCAAGCCTGGCAAGCCTGTAATTCCAGCTTCTTGGGAAACTCAGAAGGATCACCAGTTCAATGTTTCATTGGGCTAACTAAAAGAGAGTGCAACACCCGGACTCAGCTGCACCCCTCGCCTGACCACCTTTGGAGAGGTGGCCTGAAGAGGTCAGAGGTGCATCGTAGTTGGCAGACTTCCCTGCCGACCAACAAAGCCCACCTTTAAGCATCTCCGTTCTTGCTGCGACTCTGTCTCAAAATTACAAATAGAAAGCACTTTGAGAGTATGGTTCTGTGGTGGCATGTATGATAGATATCCTGGTTTCGGTCCCAAGTAAAACACACACCACACACACACACACACACACGAATGGCAAGCAAGCCTGGACACTGGAGGGGACTTGCTCTGGTAAGTAGGAAACACACAGGAGTCCTGAGTGAAAGATCACACACCCTGTTTCTCCAAAGCCTTTAAGAAGGCTCCCCATTCTTAAATCTTCAAAGGTGAGATTTTCGAGCTCAGCTCGGCTCCTCTCACCGCAGCTTCCAAGGCGCCTTTGCATCTGGGATGGGGACCGATGTTATTCACCAGGCAAAGATTCTTTTAAAAAAAATCACAGCTAATAACTGATTAAAAAAAAAAAAACTACTTTCTCACGGGAGCGGCTGGCGTTTCCTCTCCCGTTTGCACACCTGGCCTGACCGGTCACCCACCGGCTGTAGAGGTAGGAGGTGCACGGTACAGAAGGCTGCAGACTTCCCAGCCTGACAACCGAACCCACCTTTAAGCAGCTCTATGGTACGTAGCTGGAAAGGGATGCCGTTCTTCTTGGCGAAGATGTAGACAGCACGGCAGGGCTGGGACATCAGGTCCAGGTAGAGCTCCAGACCCATGGCGGAGGCTGTGGGAGTAGCCGCTGGCAGACTTCGGAGACTGGCCTCAGGGAAACTGCCTCCGGGGACAGAGGCTGGAGCTGCAGCAACGGTGAGCAGGAACGGCTGGGTCCTAGCCCCTCAGTGTTTCTTAATCTGGATCTCGATGCCAATCTTGCCTCCCATTGGATGCTCACAAGAACTTTGGGCCAATCAGCGGCGTACTGCAAGTTAACCTTCCCCCCTCCCCCCAACAGATGAACCTGAACTGTGAACTCTGGTCTTGGTTTGGGGTCAAACTGCCCCCTGTACCTCCGTGCTTTGGCCAAATGAGGAGCTGAACCCAGTAAAAGAAAAAGTGACACGAGGGGCGTTTCTATTGGTGAATTTAGAGCCAGAATAGCCGTGCTGTCTGCCCTCAGTTCACTTTCTTTCCCTCCACTCACGGAAAAGGCTGGAGGAGGAGTGGCTTTGGAGACCCTTGACACAGAAAAGGAAGAAGGAAGTGTGGCTACCAACAGCATCCAGTTCTTTGGGCCCAGGACTCAGGTTGGATATGATGTTTGGCCAAATGTGCAAATGCTAAGTCCACACCCCGTGAGAGAAATGATCTGCCTCTACTCGTTCTTATTTCTCACCCCAGCTAATCCCTCTAGCGGGGGGGGGGGGGGGGGGGGGAGCGCCGCCAAGCCTGGGGTTGAAAAAAAATACTCCCCCCAATCAAAAAAAAAAAAAAAAAAAAGCAAAAAACTTTCAGTGGCAGTCAGGGTCACCTAAGGTCTACATGATATCATTATTTCCCTAATTCCCCAAATGATGGGGAAAAAACTCAACCACCCAACTGACAACAACAACCAACCAACAACAACAACAACAAAACGTGCCTTGGCACAACAGGTCACTAGGAAACTTGAGAATGGCTTTGTCTTCCTGGTCCCAGATGTTCTCACGTTCCTTTTCTCTCTCTCTCTCTCTCTCTCTCTCTCTCTAGGATCCTAATTTGGGCCTGTCACTGGACCTCCTTTCTCTCATGCTCTTCTCCATTTTTGTTCCCGAAGTTCCTTCAGACAGGAAGAACTCTGGGTCAGAGGTTTTGACTGTGAGATGGCAGCCCCATCCCTCCACTTAATGCCTGTCCTTCCACTGGAGGTGGACTCTACAAGTTCCCTGTCCCCACTGTAGAACATTTCATCCAAAGTCCCTCCCTTTGAGTCTCTCACTTCCCGGGTCTCTGGTTCATTCCAGAGGGTCCCCCAACCTCCTACCTCCCGACCAGACATTCTCTTTAAGGAACACCTATCCCCCTAGTTTAGTGTCTGTCTGCTATAGTGGAAGCTGACCTCTCTAGACTGGAAGGGAGAGGCCCCTTCATTTTCCCCACCTCTCCCCTTTGGTGCCTAACAGTTTTCCACAAGTCACTTTTGTCTATCGCCGCCGTTCCTCCCCCCCCCCCCCCGCCACCCCCGACTACGGCAACAGCAACATCCAGGCGGGGGGCGGCCGTCGTGGTTGCCTTGGGGTCCCCTCCCCCACCCCCAAACAGCTAGAATACTATCCCAGAGCGGAATCTGAGCCCCTCATTCCTAATCACAGTTTGTACCCAAGAGTTTTGAGCATGAGCCCTGTCCAGGATTGCGGCTGGAGGTAATTCCTCCTCCTGACCAATTCTGTAAGTCAGGAAGGTTTGATGACCTTATGAAGGGACCACGTCCAAGAGGCTGGTCTGTCCAAATAATGGCTTCCCATGCCTGCAGCTGAGGCATCTGCTTGTTTTCATTCTCCCAGGACCAGAAATCTGAAAGGTGTTTGTGATTAGCTTTCAGTTTGTTTTTGATGTTTTGTTTTATCGAGATACAATCTCACAATGTATCCCAGGCTAGCATGGATCTCTGTATGTAGCCCAGGCTGGCCCCATATTCTCAGTAGTTTTCCTTCTCCTCCTTTGTTTCATCCTTCTGAGTGCTCGATCACATACACGCCTAGCTATGACTTCATCCATGGCGGCAACCATGAGGGGGAAAACAATCCCCAAAGCCTGGGAAATGGAACTGTCTTTCAGAAAAACAATCGAATGAGACTAGAGGAAGAGGGTTAAAGAAACAACACAGAGGGGGCTGGAGAGATGGCTCAGAGGTTAAGAGCACTGCTAGCTCTTCCAGAGGTCCTGAGTTCAATTCCCAGCAACCACGTGGTGGCTCACAACCATCTGTAGTGGGATCCGATGCCTTCTTCTGGTGTGTCTGAAGACAGTGACAGTGTATTCATATACATAAAATAAATAAATCTTTAAGAAGAAGAAGAAGAAGAAGAAGAAGAAGAAGAAGAAGAAGAAGAAAGAAAGAGCACAGAGAAACTGAAGCTCACACCGAATCTTGGTTTATTACCCAAACTCGAAGGGGAAAGCAGTGATTATAGTTGAGGTCATGTGTGGCTATTGTGGGGAAAGGATGAAGCTGGATGAAGATGGAACCTGAGAACCAACATGCTTGGGGGGCGGGGGTGCATCACTAGTGTAATGCAAGTGAGTTGTGAATTGCCACGGCTGGTGCAGGGATGAAGCGGCTGAAGTCACTGGATCATGGCCACCACTCTGGGCATCAGCTTCTGCTTAACGGCGGGATCAGCAGGTGGACAGTCCTTCGCCTTCAGGATGACATCATGGGCTTCTCGGAAGAGGTCCTTCCCCACAGCTGCCTCCACTCGCTGGTACCATGCAGCCAGCTTGGGACGCCCTTCAAAGACTGGGTAGCCACCGCCTACAGGCTATATCAAGAAGGGAACAGAATGGGGGTGGGTGCATTTGTGGCTAATGTTGCTTCTTAATTTGACACACATGGAAAGGGAGAACTCAACTGGGGGATTGCCTCCATCAGATTGGCTTGTAGAAATGTCTATATCATTCCTACAAGCTTGTGTGTGTGTGTGTGTGTGTGTGTGTGTGTGTGTGTGTGTGTGTGT